ACCTAAGTTTGTAAACAACAGTGGGTGATCGATCTACATAAATAAAACAGGACAGTACAACCTTGGTTCATCTCCGCTTGGTGGTGGTGAAGGCAGGATGAAAGAGTCTCATCCACTGCTGTCACCACACACGCTGGCGTCACAGATTATTCCACAGACAATCACTCATTAATTGTGTTTGTCTTCATCGTTATTTATAACTTCATCGTTATTATTACCTTCAGCGTGTGTGTGGTACAATGACTCCTCTTCCAAGGCTCACTCAGTTATAATGACAGATGTGTGAGAGCAAAGTGTGGCCAGTGGAAGGCTTGGCCGGTGTACGTGTTAAACAATTGTCTTCACCATTGGACCTGAACCACTTTATCTTAGTAGTGGGAATGATCCAGTGATGCCACTTTCGTCCCCGCCGCCGAGTTTGATTTCAAAATGGATAAAAAAAAACCCATATATTATTATGAATATTTATCATTAGGGCAGTAAATACAACAGTCTCAGAGGGAACAGCCAGGTCTCAGGTCAGGATATTTTAAGATTGACAGATAACAGATAATTGCTCTTCACTGCGGTGCGACAGGCAGTAGATCACGTTTACACTCTGGTCTTGACAGGTTATGAATGAAAATGTATCATTTGGATTTAACAGACAATATATAAATGACTTTCTGATAACATTTTAAAGGTTGATTCTTCTTCTTCATATCATCCTCCTGCTGTGTTACAACCTCTTTATTCTTTTTGTTTTGGTAATTAAGTGTGAGAACGTTTCTTAGTTAAGGTTTTGTTAATTTAAAATATAAATTCGCTACTGTTTCTCACTATAAACAATTTCTCTCATTGATAACTTCTCACCTTCAGTACTTCGACAGAACTTTTATTTGATAGTGTAACTGAAGTCATTAAGTTCGTGCTGTTGATATAAAAGCAATCCAAAATGTTGTTAGTCGATTTTAGATAACGTGTCAGGCACAAATGGTACACATTTACATCAGTTGTATTCCGAAGTTTGTACACACACACACACTCACACACACACACACACACACACACACACACACACACACACACACACACACACACACACACACACACGAGAGACTGGTGATACACGGCCTCAGAGGAAACAAAACACAATCATTGTTGCCGTCAACTTCGGGCTTGAGCTGCCACACACAGGCTGTCGCGCCATGCACTAGTAAACACTTCATCACCAAATGGAAACTGTGCATGAAGACGGAAGATCTCCGCTCCCAGCATGGCGGATCACCTCCACTGACTTACTCTCAAGAAAGGAAACAATTTTAGGTTCAAATCTGGTACACTATATTTTTATTTCTTCTTCACTCTGAACTTGAGTTGTTTGATAAAGTATACGACTTGATGCACTCAACTTCTTCCACTTGTTTTATGATAACATGTTTGGTAGTTGTGTGGTGCTGAAGATAATGTATTATTATAATGTTAAATGATCAAATATAAACTTGAAAATAGAATCATATTGTCAAGTATATTATTGATCAACATAAGGAATAGGAAGAAGATCCGCTGAAAGGAAGGAAGAGGTGAAAATGGTGGTGAGAGTTAACCTTTATAAGAGGGAAGGTGAAGCGTTCCAACACCCATTGACTACAACTGTAAAGTGATCATAAACGACTTATCTCTCCAAGAACCTGTACCATCGTAGGGAGACAGTCCTTCAATCTTCAGCTCTTACATTAAGAAGTCAAGAAACTTGTCTCAGAATCTCAAGACCATAAATTCAGCATCAAGGACTCACTTGGAAGGAACTTAGTCAGACCAAGATATTGTTTCTCAATCAATTGCCAATAACTGGGATTTTCAAGGTGGAAGGGGGCGGGGGAGGAACTAAGTTGGGGGAAGGAAGTAAGGGTGATGGGGATAGAGAAACAGGGTAGTGGGGAGGAAGGTAGTAAGAGAAGGAATATGTAAGGTGAGGAAGGACGTGTTTGGGAATAGGGAAGGAAGGCATGTATCTGGTTCCTCTACACATAACTATCTTACACCATTACCTTCCCTGCGTCTGTCATTGATCTTAATATCCCTTCCCTTCTCTCTTCCTTTATGAAATTATTCCTTCTGTTCGTCATTATTCTGTTTCATCATCTCAAAATCCTCTTCTTTCTTTATTCCTTCTTCTGTTTGGCGTGAGTCATATTCTCAACCATACATTATCCTTAACATCAATCAATTATCCGCACCACCATTTAGTCTTCCATACCAGCACTCCAGATATCCACAAAAACCTCAATTATTCGCATTAACACTCAGTTATCCGCACCACCACTCACTTTTCAGTATTACACTTCCCTCCCTCCTAACTCTTGTTCCGCCTCAACACTGAAATTTCCGCCGAAGTGTCGCTACTATCCGCCCAGCTACCCGCCACTTCCTTACTGTCTCATATATTCACTCAATCTGCTTTTCCCCAACTATGATACTCAGTGACAGGTCTACTAAAGCCACCAGCCATCGCAACAACCCACATTCCTAACCAAAAGGACTGACGCTTCACTGTGTGGAAACCCGATAAAGCCGAGATGGTCTCAGATGATTTCGGATATAGGGCCGTATTGATAGTCATTACGACGATAATGACGATCACGATCATCATCTCGATGATCGTGTGTCGGGATGCAACCACCCAACGCTGAGTGCCATATTCCTAGGCACTTACATGAGCGTGTAAACACGGCAGCTCGTGTCGGATGGCAAAATTTTTTTTGGCCATGCGCGTGTGCCAAATGTATTATTTCACATAATTAGAAAGACGATTTAGAGAGATATTTAGTTGCTATTTTATACCGGCACAATAATATATTGTAAAATATATTTTTCTATAAAATTGAACTTTATTATCTGTTCGAAACAAAATAGATAATTTTTTCATCTGAGTACTTGGCAACAATGTTTGCGCGCGTGTTATCAAACATGGAGGTAGTAAGAAAATGTTCTGCAGCTCTGTCTGAAACCCAACACATGGCACTTTTGCGCCATACTGAGCAAAGGCCAATCATTGAGGACAGGTCTACAAGCAACACCATAAATGATTGGAAAAGAAAGGCCTGAAAATATCAATTGTAAAAATTAAAAGTAAATAGATTTTTTTAACCAAAGAGTGGTGTTGTGTGTATCATTAAAACTGTGATGTAGCCGAGTATTGCAGAATTTTAGAGCAAATTATTTGTATTGATAGTAAGCTGTACTTATTCTTTATTTTATTAGTGACAGTAAATATTTAAGTTACAGAATAAAGAAAATGAAATCTAATGCTTACTTAGGTCGTCATATTTCTGCCTGACACACAAGACATTGTAGATCGTAAACCTTAGCTTATATCTTGTTGAAAATGAATATTAACGTTTATACTAAACTATATTACTGGACCAAAAACTGTGATATTTTCCTTGCTAACTCAAGATAGAGTGAGCTCACTTGGCTTTTTTTTAAAGGGCATTAGCCCACCTGGGCACAGGTCAATGACCCACATCGGGGCCTGGGGGGCGAAAATTTAATAATAATAATAGTAATTCATAGTAAATAAAATTTATAATTAAAAGTAAAATAAAATAATAACAATAATAACAACACTGTAATAATGATAATAAAGAAAAAATAATAATAATCAATAGTTAGAAACGCTATATGTACAGTATGTTGTCTTGTCAATAGTAAGAGAAACAATTGAGATCCTGCAATTGTGTGTAAATGAGGCAGAAAGACAGATCAGCAACCTGGGACTTGGTCACAATTTTTTTGATGTCATGTGGCAGCAGGGTCTACCATTAGACAACACATTATGCTTCCAATATCTTCCCAGGCGGTAGTACCTCCCTGTTTGGTAGCCGCCTACTACCTACTTGCCTCATTCCGGAAAACATAAGTGAATTTCGTGGTTCAGATGGTTGAAATTTTATTACTACTACGACAAAAATATTGTATGAATGAATAAAGATAAGAAACATACCTTAAATGATAACAGAAGTAATTGTTAATTGAAGATGAGGCTCACAGCACAGACAGCAGTCGTCATCGAAGTCGGAGCTGTGATGTCAACATTCCAATAATGTTTCAAGTTCATAACAGTGTTGTGAAAGTTCATTTATCCGTATTAACACTTCTTTTAATTGTTCTTATCAAAAAAAATAATATAATTCGACGTAGACATCTGTAATATAAAGTACTGGAAGAACTTTCATAAAATATAATGATGATTATTATTTGTCGTAAGGCAGCTATCGGGTGGGGGTAGCCACCCGATGTTGTTTCCAACATTTCAGGGATATGCGTACGGTTCCCTTCCGATACCTCGTTTATCGGGATGACTATTAATAGACCAGCACGAACACTATCAATTGGCATTGTGCTTCGTAATGACTATCAATCCGGCCCATACTTCAAAGACTCTGGTTGTCACAGCCGCGTCTTTGGCTATACAGTACACATATTTCTCAATTCACTCCATCGTTCGTTCCCCTTCTCTTACTTTTTTCTGTTTATTTTTTATTATATCTCTCGTTCTTTTTGTGTCTTATTCTTTCTGTTTCTACCTGTCTATTCTCTCCTTCGCTATGTGTCATTATATTTTTGTGTGTATATATAAGATTAAATAGGACACCCAAAATGCTAAACTAAATATTAATTTGTGTAAAATTTGCACATAAAAGTTATCCCCAAATGTTTTTTTTTCTCGAATTTAATTTAGTGTCTGTCACAAATGAAACACAATACTGTACCTTTCTGTATGACTGTGTTCCCGAGGTGTTGAACGCATGGTACGCTAAGTAACTGTAACGTTTAGGATGGTTGATGGTGTTTTTAGGGTAGGTATTACTTCTGGTATAGTAAATGTTTGCCGGGAGTTATAGTGTGGTAGTGAGTGAGGTGATGTTGAGCCACATAATGGTTAACGTCATTGATATTCCCGAACTCTCTCAAACACAAGAAATTTATATTTTAACAAGAAAATTAAAAACAAAAACTTCAGTGTATCATTTCCTGGACATGTAAAGACTGTTATTTATTATTTGATTCGTCTTCACAACCAATATATATGATTACATTACTGGAATAACCTAAACGTGGTTAAATCAAAGTCATTAGTGTCAGCCAGGTCGCCACTAATGATGATTCACTGGTTCAGAAAGCCCCGCCTCAGTCCCACGTATCCCACTTGGGGCTTCTGAACTTTCTTCAGATGTTCTTGATATATTTGATAATTTCTGGAGCTCCATGACCCACCTTCGGCCTCTCACAATCTCCACCGAAGTAAGCATGAACTTTAGCTGGCACAAGACGCTCATCACTAGTTTGTGGATCAACCATCTCCTCACACATTCCTCTGAACACAGATATTACATGTTGCATTACGTCCTCTTCTTGCCACTCGACTCCCTCCACTCGTTTCTTTTCCAGTTGTCTCAAGAAGGAATTTTTGAAGCAGAATCCTTCAGGTGTCGGGATCTTCCAATAGCGGGTGTCCCACCAACAAAACTGCTTCTTCAAGTCTTTGGGCATCCAGGGTTCAGCCTTCATGCAGGAGAGGAGAGCCTTGCCGGTGAGAAACACTTGCCGTTCCTGGTGATCCAAGTGCTTCAGCACCTTCACCTCGGAGGCAGCGAAGCTACACCTCCATGATTTGTCTGCGGTGTTGCTGAGGTGCATCATTTGTGAGTTGGCAGGTGTGAGAAAAGGTCTGGGTATCTCTTCAGGCCAAGGTATAACTACTATTGGCACTAAGTCAATGCCAATCAGCAATAGGGGATACTGATTTCCCTGCCAAGCCAGTGACAGTGACACGCCCACCTGCGTCCTTGTCAGGCCAGGTGGCACGATGCTCACCCTCATGTCTCCGAGAGTGTAGGTACTGAGACACTGCCTGACTCTAATGCAAAGATTTTTTTGAAAAACATTTTCCTGGAGACCAGTTTTCATTGTTTTGACTTCAACTCTCAACTTATGTCCGCTGAGTGAGGCTTCTTGTTTGTTTTGCTCACTAACTAAAACATTCACTCCTGAACAATCATCCAGAAGAATATTGAAGTCATATTCATCGGGACAATAGAGTCTTGTGCCATCTGCGGTGCTCCCGAGCAGTTCCAGAGTGCCTCGATAAGTTCTGTCCTTAGAGGAAACATTTTCTGTGATCTCCTGCAGTTCCTTCATCACCACCTCTCGTACCTCTTGTGCCTCACCTTTAGAATAATCAACAGCAATTCTCTCTGTTTCTTCCATCATCTTGTTCAAGTCAATACGACTGAGAACATCAGTTGTTGCATCCGTTGGGTTATTCCATATTTGTACATCACTACCTTGTCTTGTTGTACCTGAACATTTGTGGTACATCTTCAGGTACGAGTAGAAATGTCTACTGACCTCTTGTGGGGTAGTTCCAGCCCTACATGAAGGTTCTTGCTGCCTCATAAATCCTTCTAAAAGCTGATAAGTTTGATCATGACCGAACATTGCTGCCAAGTGTAGTGGTGTTTGGCCATATCGGTCAGATAGTAAATGTTGAGCGCCAAGACTCAGGAGGAGAATGACGCAGTCAGACTTGCCATGAGAGGCAGCCTGGTGGAGGGCGGTGGTGTCGTTAGTAGGATCCAGCACTGTATCCACTGGCACACCTCCCTTCTTCACCAGGAGGTAGATCAGCTGCTGCAGCCCACGTTGTGAGGCCACCAGGAGGGCGTCGGCTCCTACAGACGACACTTGAGATCTTCTGGCTCTAGCTCTAGCTCTGGCTCTCTTCTGTCTCACTCGATCCCTCGCCAAGTTGGTGGTGAAGAGAAGTTGCTGGACGCCAAGAACCTCCTGCAGCCGTTGTTCCTCGATAGGGTCTTTCTTCTTCTCCTTTATGTCCTCCAGCTGCTTCCTCTCCGCCTCGTATATTTTCTGTCAACAAATTATTTATATAATTTTAAGAATGATAAAAAAGTTTGTAAAATACGTTTAATAAACTTTACGTCCCTAAATCACGGCTTCTCAATAATCCAACTTTGACAATGTTAATATTTTCTTCACACCTTGACGAGGAGTAATGTTGTTATTTGAGGGAAATTTGTCGGGGATAATTTGGGGGGTTTAATATATTTACTTTTATTTCTGTCCGTTCCTTGGTCGCTCGAGATGGTCTTAGAGGGTGTGGCCGGGGAACTTTCTACTGAATGTTTTCTTTAGCTTTTTTTCTGAAGAAATATAAATAATGAAGAATGGCAACTCCGGTCAAGAACATTTTACTCGTAACTCGTGTTAAACACTGACCTCGTTTAGCTGGCAGTGGCGGTCTGGAGGCATCAAGTGTGTGGGCAGTCGACCTCTGGAGTCAGGCACATACAGGCAGCCTCCCATGTACTTGATCATCTGACCCGCCAGGTTCCAGTGCTCAGCGTCCAGAGCAGCGTGCACAGGAGTCACCTTAGACTGGCTACATAGGGAGGACTGAGCACCAGCTTGGTAGAGGAAGCTGCATGTCAAGGTACAGTTGACACGGGCGGCCTGGACCATAAGGTGAGTCAGGTCGACCACTGACTCAACACGGGGCCAGCTGGCTCGCCAGGGTGTGTCACCTTCCATACTCTTTATGAGGTGATCAACACCTGTCCTAAGGTGTGGCAGGCTACGTAAGATTGTTCTTTCTCTCTGTAGCACACGAAGGAACACCTGGAAGTGTATTAAACTATCATGAATATACAGTATTATAATAATGATAATAATGATGTTAATAAAGTGTGTGTGTGTGTGTGTGTGAGTGTGTGTGTGTGTGTGTGCGTGTGTGTGTGTGTGTGTGTGTGTGTGTGTGTGTGTGTGTGTGTGTGTGTGTGTGTGTTGTGAAGATAATAACAGGACTTGCGGTAAAAGTCTTCTACGGATTATACAGTGGAGAGGGGGAGATAATTCCTGTTAATTGTAAACATTCGTTATATTGTTGTTATAAAAGGAACACTATAACATATATAAATGTTTATAACCTTAAAACATATATTAATGAACAAAAGTCAGCAGCAGGTATTAGGTGTTCTCACACTGAACATTACACACCAGGTAATACACGATGGATATACTGTACATAAAGGAGTAAGGGCAACACCTGTCACTACTACCTGGACGACATACACCTGTCTCTTATTAACACCTGGACGACATACACCTTTCTCTTATTAACACCTGGACGACATACACCTGTCTCTTATTAACACCTGGACGACATACACCTGTCTCTTATTAACACCTGGACAACATACACCTGTCTCTTATTAACACCTGGACGACATACACCGGTCTCTTATTAACACCTGGACGACATACACCTGTCTCTTATTAACACCTGGACGACATACACCTGTCTCTTATTAACCCCTGAACGACATACACCTGTCTCTTATTAACACCTGGACGACATATACCTGTCTCTTATTAACACCTGGACGACATACACCTGTCTCTTATTAACATCTCGACGACATACTCCTGTCTCTCATTAACACCTGGACGACATACACCTGTCTCTTATGAACACCTGGACGACATACACCTGTCTCTCATTAACACGACATCCACCTGTCTCTTATTAACACCTGGACGACATACACCTGTCTCTTATGAACACCTGGACGACATACACCTGTCTCTCATTAATACCTGGACAACATACACCTGTCTCTTATGAACACCTTGACGACATACACCTGTCTTTATTAACACCTGGACGACATACACCTGTCTCTTATGAACACCTGGACGACATACACCTGTCTCTTATTAACATCTCGACGACATACTCCCTGTCTCTCATTAACACCTGGACGACATACACCTGTCTCTTATGAACACCTGGACGACATACACCTGTCTCTTATTAACATCTCGACGACATACACCTGTCTCTTATTAACACCTGGACAACATACACCTGTCTCTTATTAACATCTCGACGACATACACCTGTCTCTTATGAACACCTGACGACATACACCTGTCTCTTATTAACATCTCGACGACATACACCTGTCTCTTATTAACACCTGGACAACATACACCTGTCTTTATGAACACCTGGACGACATACACCTGTCTCTTATTAACATCTCGACGACATACACCTGTCTCTTATTAACACCTGCACGACATACACCTGTCTCTTATTAACACCTGGACGACATATACCTGTCTCTTATTAACACCTGGACGACATACACCTGTCTCTTATTAACACCTGGACGACATACACCTGTCTCATATTAACACCTGGACGACATACACCTGTCTCTTATTAACACCTGGACGACATACACCTGTCTCTTATTAACACCTGGACGACATACACCTGTCTCTTAGTAACACCTGGACGACATACACCTGTCTCTTATTAACACCTGGACGACATACACCTGTCTCTTATTAACACCTGGACGACATACACCTGTCTCTTATTAACACCTGGACGACATACACCTGTCTGTCATGAACACCTGGACGACACACACCTGTCTCTCATTAACATATACTTTAGGGTAATAATTATAGGGCGAGAATTACCTTAAGGATAATTGTATGTTGGTGTTGATATATAAATACAGTCGTCCTGTTATCGTCAGTGAGTGACGTCACTGTCCACTGAGGAACATACCTGCCTGCCTCTACACACAGTTCTTAACGAGCACAACCTGTGTGTCTGTTGTGTGTTCTTACCTGCGTATGTTAATATTCATGAGCCAGACACACCTGGTAATGATAGATGGAGATAAGGTGACCAGGTGTGACCTGACTAATATATCATCACCTGCAGGTACCTGTATATTGTACCAGGTAATTGTGCAATAATATATGACAGGTGTTAGTTATCCTCCTTAAAATGTGAAGAATTAGTGTGTTTGTTATTAATAATTATGATTATATTGTTAAGCTGATTCACCCCTGTGATGGTGACCTGAACACAAGAGTTATGTCTCCCTTATAGTGACCAAGAGGTGTATGGTGCTGACTCACCCCTGTGATGGTGACCTGAACACAAGAGTTATGTCTCCCTTATAGTGACCAAGAGGTGTATGGTGCTGACTCACCCCTGTAATGGTGACCTGAACACAAGAGTTATGTCTCCCTTATAGTGACCAAGAGGTGTATTGTGCTGACACACCCTTGGGATGGTGACCTGAACACAAGAGTTAGGTCTCCCTTATAGTGACCAACAGGAGTATGGTGTTGACTCACCACTGTGATGGTGACCTGAACACGAGAGTTAGGTCTCCCCTATAGTGACCAACAGGTGTATGGTGTTGACTCACCCCTGTGATGGTGACCTGAACACAAGTTAGGTCTCCCTTATAGTGACCAACAGGTGTATGGTGCTGACTCACCCTTGTGATGGTGACCTGAGCAGAAGTGTTATGTCTCCCTTATAGTGACCAAGAGGTGTATGGTGCTGACTCACCCTTGTGATGGTGACCTGAGCAGAAGTGTTATGTCTCCCTTATAGTGACCAAGAGGTGTATGGTGCTGACTCACCCTTGTGATGGTGACCTGAGCAGAAGTGTTATGTCTCCCTTATAGTGACCAAGAGGTGTATGGTGCTGACTCACCCTGTGATGGTGACCTGAACACAAGAGTTATGTCTCCTTTATAGTGACCAACAGGTGTATGGTGCTGACTCACCCTTGTGATGGTGACCTGAACACAAGAGTTATGTCTCCCTTTAGTGACCTCAACAGGTGTATGGTGCTGACTCACCCTGTGATGGTGACCTGAACACAAGAGTTATGTCTCCCTTATAGTGACCAACAGGTGTATGGTGCTGACTCACCCTTGTGATGGTGACCTGAACAAGAGTTATGTCTCCCTTATAGTGACAGTGTGTATGGTGCTGACTCACCCTTGTGATGGTGACCTGAACACAAGAGT